CCCTAAATTTCTTAATCAGGTTCTGGTGAGACATCTTTTTTCAAGAGCCTCCCAACTCATGGAACATAGACAATCCCCAATCAGTCATGCCCAGARAGATGTGTCCATTCAACCTGTACCTCCAGGTCCCCGCCCTGTGAAGTTTCTACGTACCTATAGGCAGAAATCTGGGCCTTGCCAGGAATCTGAAGTTCCCACACCATATCCTCCTTGCTGGTATTCAGGATAGTGGTCAGCAGGTCCAGTCGATTAATTCGGAAAAGCAACTCCTTYAAGAAGGACAGATTGTTTTCCTCCAACATTCCCTTTTCCTGAAGTGTCTGGAATAGCTTCAAGGCATCCTTGATGGGCTCCTGCTTCTTTTGTGGGATATATTCCAGACATAAGAACTTGAGGGAGGACAACTCATMGCTGCCCAGTTGTTCCCCAATATCGTAAAGACATTTGTTGAAATCCATCCTTGACAAAAGGTAGGAGAAGTAACCTAGGTCAAAAGATGATATAATGCTCAGGTGAGTAGGAAATGTACCATCCCCCCCCCAAAAAAAATACCATCCCCTGGTTTCTTCCTTCATCAAATGCTGTTATATCTACTCTTTGCCCATCTGTCTGTAGATACAGGAAAGAAGAAGGAAAAACAAGTTCCTTTTTGCAAGTAGCTTACTAATTAGGGAAGTAGACAAAGAAGGCAATGGTCAGAGAGTTGTGAYAAGGTGCAGTGGGAATACAGAGGAAGGAGCACTGGGAGAAGGGCTCTCTATAGGGAAAGGACTTTGGGGAGGATGCAGTAAAGGACAGTTGTCGCAGGAAACATTTTATGCATAAGATAGAGGCAAGAATTTTCAAGTTAGTTCAGGCAGACACAAAGAGCTCAATAAAGTAACCACTAAGGGTGTGGGCTGGGGAGTGATGTTACAAAGAAATGAAGATGTAGCCAGGAACCATGCCATGAAAGGCCTCATACTGTGGGGCAGGGGGGTTAGGCTTTGTCCTGGAGGAGACAGGGAACGAAGAACATATTATAAAAAAGACAATGATGTCATCTGATTTGGGATTCACAATTATGGTGAAGTGGACAAATTGCAAGAGTAGGAGGCAGGAGACCTACCAGGAGGAGGCATTTAAGTAGTGGCAGGAAGAAGTGATGGCTTTAATCATGGGACAGTGGTAGGAGGAGACATAGTGTCCACAAATGCCCTGAGGACCAGCACCTACAGCTATCAGAAACTCAAGACTGGAAACTGAACCAGGTCAACCCTTACAGCCCTCTCAGTCCAAACAGTCTCTAAGATTAGGGAATGTTTTCATAGGCCYACATGTTTAAGATGGAGAGGATAGTGTTTCAGAAAACCCTAGATAATCTTCAAGCCAGCAGGCCAGAATCTGGGATTTCTCCTCCCTTGAGGCCAAGGCTTGACCATCTTGTCTAGTTTCTTCCCCACGGTTACTGCGCCAACCAGCCTGTGTCCACAGTGAAAGGAGTCCCTGGAGAGTGTACTGGATTCTTCAGAGGAATCTGAAGACTCAGACACAGTTCCCTGTTGCAAGCTATAGTGTCACTRTAAATGCCATGTGGTCCATCATCAGGGAAGATGGGCAGTGGCAGTGCTTAGAGACAGGGGCTCCACTAAGCATCAAAACCTGGTTGTGACACTGGCCATACGGCCTTGGGCAGCTCTCTTCCTCCTCTGTAAAATGGGGATCAGAAGTCCATCCATATCTTAGAGGAGTGGAGAATCTATGAGACAACACTTGTAATGCATTTAGAACAATGGCCAGCAACTAATGAATGCAGAGCAAGGCACTGAGAGCCCCTGGCCCTGAGGCCCTGAGGCCAAGGGCAAGGGACTTCCAGCACTTCTCTCACCCTCCTACTTTTCCCATTTCATCAGTTGAAAAATGTGAAATTCATTTGGAAGTGGTGGTTCTCATACTCCCCCTAGTTGAGGGGTTCTTACTCAAAACCTGCCCCACCTRTAAGAGAGGATTCTGGATAGCTACCATTGAGAGCCCAGCACCACCATTTCTTTCTTTCTTTTTTTTAAAACATTGATATRTTATTTAATCAGAAATAAATAATGCGGTCACATTATTTCCCTTATAAATATCTCACAGAATTCTGCAATTTGTATTTGGGGTAAAAATGGGAGTTCATAACCCACTTGAATCAAATGTATGAAAGATGATATGTCGGGCTGGGGATGTGGCTCAAGCGGTAGCGCGCTCGCTGGCATGCAGGCGGCCCAGGTTCGATCCTCAGCACCACATACCAACAAAGATGTTGTGTCCACCGATAACTAAAATAAATAAATAAATTCTTTCTCTCTCTCTCCCTCTCCCCTCTCTTAAAAAAAAAAAGAAAAGAAAGATGATATGTCATGAGCTTTGTAATGTTTTGAACAACCAATAAAAATAAATAAATAAATAAATAAATAAATATCTCACAGATCAAAGAAGAAAAGTAATTATAAGAAAAGTAAATAAAAAGTGCTTCGAACTAAGTGATAATAAAAGCTTAAAATAGGGCTGGGGATATAGCTCAAATGGTAGAGTGCTTTCCTTGCATACACAAGGCCCTGAGTTTGATCCCCAGCACCACAAAAAAAAAAAAAAAAAAAAGCTTAAAAGATCAGACTCTCTTATAAGTTATAAGTGTTATAAGATGAACACTTATAACTTAAAGTATTTGTATCAGAAAGAAGCTAGACTAACAATCAAATTATTTTCCAATTAGGTAGTAGGAAGGAAAAAATAAGAGTAGCAGCAGAAATATGTGAAATAGAAAAGAAATAACACAGCTAAAAGTTATAAAAATCTAAGAAGTCTAATCAAGAAAAAATTAATATCAATGAAAAGGGCAGCCTCCACCATTTCTATGACTCCACAGATGCTGGTTTGGGCCCTCCTCAAATAACCTTGGACCTGTTCCCTCCCCTGAAACAAGATGGATGGGTTCCTGAGTCTGTAAGTTCCTTAAATTCTTGAACATTCATGGATGACTGCACCAGCTCTGACCCTGTCACTCAAAGGCAGTGACCAGGTATTTTCTACATCTGATGCTAAAGTAAAAATACTTTTGATTTGCACATTAGAACATGTTTTAATGTTTTGTTTTTTTACTTTATGTTTTTGTACTGAGGATTAAACCCAGGGGCACTTTACCACTAAGCCACATCCCCAGTCCTTTTTATTTATTTTGAGACAGGGTCTCACTAAGTTGCTTAGGGCCTCACTAAGTGGCCAAGGCTAGCCTCAGATTTGTTTTCTTCCTGCCTCAGCCTCCTGAGCTTCTGGGATTACTGTCATAACTGAGCCCAGTTTAATTTTTTTTTAATGAACTTTTTTTTTTAATTCAGAAAGATGGTAGATTAGAGCAAGGGTGCACTTCCCAGCAGTTCCTGAGCTCAAGATTTTAAAAAGTGGCACATTGTGGAGTTTTTGCCTGTCTCTAGGTGATCTGTTCCACCTTGACAGCTGAGACCAACAGCAAGTCCTCCCAACATTCTCACATCCCTAGTGATTATAAAGTGCTAATCAGTTGCCTCTGAATATAATTGAAACAAAAAAACAGGAAAATGTCAGCAAATTCTTCTAGAAAAGTTTTTCAAAACAGAGTTGTAATCTTGGCAGAACTGGACAAAGAGATATGAGAATCACTTATGCAGAACCAGTCTTTAGCAAATCGTCCTGAAGCTAGCACCACACTCTCAGGACCRCTCTTAATAAGGACTTCCAGGATCACACAGAGCAGCATCGTGTCACAGCCCAACAGAAGGCAGCTTTGCAGCATACACCTGCACATTCATCTGGTACTTCACAACTCAACACTCTGCATTTGGAAATCTTATTCTTCCCATTTCACCTCACTGTGACCCAGAATGAAGAAAAGATCTGCGGTGAAGATGACCTTGTAACACCAAATGCCAAAGCTACTGTCATTCAATGCTATACACACTGTGACATCCAGAATTTTGATGAACTTTCATATTTTTTGCTTCCTTAAAAGAAAGAAATATATAAGTGAAAACAAAAAGAAGAAGAACTAGGATGGTGAGAGCTTTAGAAACTATATTATCTGAAAAATTCATTATGCTGCCTGGGATGATAACTTTTTTGTAATGATGTTTGATTTTTAGCTCTAAATCAGACTCTGAATTGGATAGTCCCATAAAATCAGCCCTTAACAACAGAATATGTTATGTCTACAGTCAACTTGCAAAAGCCATTTTGTTGAGTGAAAACTTTAAAGAAATGAGGGTGCTTTTTTAAAATGTGAAACAAAAGGATTAAATAACTTACATTTATATTTGTAGTCCACAGGATTGATATATATATAGATATCTATCTCTCTCTCTCTCTCTCTCTCTATCTATCTATCTATCTTTCAAGTTTAGATTCAATGTATCATATAGAAATCATCTTTGTAAATTCACAGCTATTCTCATAGTATCTTAAAAGAAAATCCAAGATAAAACTAAGTTAGCAACCAGTCTTAAACATCTTTTATAAATATATGCCATTATAAGTGATGTGACAATGCTATTCAAAACAGTTATAAGGAATGTGTTGGTTTTAAAATTTGCACATGCTCTTATTTAGTGTTAACAACATACATGGTATGTCGGCRTGGTTTTATTGTTCACTTTTTTATCTAATTAAAAAATTTTAACCTTTCCTCTGAGACCATCAACCATACTCAAAATGTTGAAACTGTTTGCAATATATATATTATAGAAAAATGGATATGCAGGGAGTCCATATGCTTATAATTATAGGAAAAAAACATGTATAGCTTTATAAAATTTAATCTAAATTATTACTCTATAGTAGTATAGAGTCATAAATGCTGTCTTAGAAATGTATCATTAAGTCTAATTTAAAAAGTTAATTAAAAACCTTTAAAAAATTTTTAATTATGCAAGTTGAAATAAAAGATTTAAAAGGTGAGAAGACTGTTTCTCAGTGAGGTGGGTAACTAAGGGGATTCCCTGAAATTCAACACTAGACTGTAAAAGATATGATAGAGACACAGAAAGTCAGACACTTCAAACATAATATAAGAAAGTATGTTATGGAGGTGACAGTGATGTTAGTGGCAGCAATGGCAGCAGCTACAGCTGCTAAGGAAAGGGGAGCAGAGGCAGAGAGAGAGGAAAGCACTGTGAAAAATCGGCTTGGAGGGAAACTGAAAAAAGAGAGAGAGGTTGGTCTTACTGAGCCCAAAAAGGAAGGGGAAGTTGTTGAGTGAAAAGCAACCCACATCACTCAGACCATGGGTGGATAGCCTGGCAGGAACCATATATAAGTGGCCACATGGCAGTGAGCAGAGGCAGGAGATCAATAATTCATAGCAGAAGTTGCCAGCCTTGCCCAGTACTCATCTATTGTGGGATCCAGGGTATGCCTGGAAAAATGGAACTAAACAGGTGAAGAGAGAGTTGTGCTAGCTTCAGAATACTGAAGATAGAGTTCTTCATAGCTGGC